AAAAAAGCCACAAGAACAAAGAATAAAACACCTAGAAATACTAGTTAAAGCCCTCCTCTCCAGCATGTCAGCCCTGCCAAAACATCACTACCCCAAACCATCGACGACGCCCACCCAAAAGGCAGAAAGTATGACTGAAGACCCAGATCCAAAAACTCTCTTCAAAAAAATTGACGGCTAACCAAACCCAGCCAAAGACCAACCAAAAACTACCGAATAACACCTCTAGGCCTTCGCTCACTTTTTCCCCAACACAGCCCGGCGACTCGGCTTGAAACCGACCAAGACAAGAGTCGCCATCGCCTGAGGTCCACACCAACCAAACACCAAGGAGGAAAAGAAGAAGACATCGAAACATAGCTCAACTGCCAACTGGCGAGCAATTAGAGCCAGCCATCTCGGGCCTGTCGGAAAATTGCCTGACATCCCAACACTACATGGCCGCTCAAGCACTAGGTTGGGGAAACACCATCACAGAGGGAATCGATTCCTCTCCAGATAACCAAAGACAGAGGGACATGGGGCCCGTGGGCCCCCTTTATTTTTATTTTTTTAAAAATTTAATATTATATATATAAATAAAATATTATAAAATATGTAGAAATGCAAAAAATATATACAATACATTAATAGTTAAAACTTATTAAAAATCAATATGTATATAAAGAAAATACTATAAAATATGTATCTAAATGTAAAAATATTTACAATATATTAATAATAACTAAAACTTATTTCTTATGCTATTTTTATTTACATTAATAATATTATTTATTTATTAAAAATTGTACTAACAATCCTTATATTTTAAATTTTTAGATAAACTTTTAAAAGTATTTATAATGATCTCATTTGTCTCTTAATTGTAAATTGATTTATTAATTTATAAAACCGAGTATTTATTAGTTGGATTGTTACATTTTTTAATGTTGTTTTGTACTCCTTTTTCGTCCAATCACATACTTTTTTTTAAAAAAATTAGTCCATTTGATAAGCTCTCATCAACGAAAATACTATGTAATGTGACGCAAAAGTTAAACCTAAATAAAGTTTTCAACCAAAAAACTTATTTTACGATAAATTATAGATGTTGAACTTAAATTATAAATACTTGAAATCTCTTCTTTTTTGTTGATTTTTTAAGAAGTTTGAGGGCGATACTGATTCTAATTTTGTAAAAACTTGATGGTACATGTATCTATATTTATTTTTTTAGTAGATACATTTTTATATGAAATGAGTGTTTTAAATTACAAGCTCGTTATTTAACATTTAAAATCGGACCTCCCTGAGTGAAATTTGTAGATCCGTCACTGCGGATAACCCTCAGCAGCCCAGGTGCCGCAAGAAGCCGCAGGAGGACAAAGCCCCGGTCGGAGAAGAGGCTCACAATGAAGAAATAAAGCGAGGGTTTACACGGGAGATTTGGGGAAAAATCGCAGCAGAAGGGAGAGAATAGAGAGCTCCAATTGTTTGTTT